CCACGCCGCGCGGGGTATGGCACGCCGGCACACGGGGCGGAGCCAGGCGGGCGATACTCGGTAGAACTAGTGCTATCTCTCCCTCACGTGACAGTAGCAATTCCCGAAAGACTGCCAACTTGTAATATGTACCCTTAAGTTCCCGCCGCTGCTGCTGCAGCCGCCGCCGCTTCCCCCTGCCCCCCTTATTATAGGCAATTTTGTCACATGTAAATCGGTATACATGCGGATTAGATGAGCGAGTGTTTTTTGAAACGGGAGTGACGTGGGACGGAACACGACAAATAATCATTTCTTTACTCTTGTTTATTTTTTTTTAGTTACTTTTTGAGAGTACGGTCGGGCAGGCAAGCCTGGACAGGGGCCCAAGGCCCGAGCAAGGTGGTCTGTCCGGACCGATATAGGATTATCAGTGGTTAGTTTTGTGCTCCGCCCTACTTTTCCACTTTCGTTTCACCCTCTCTTGGCTTACTTTCCATAGAGTCCTTTCTTTGTAAAATATTTTGCGAGGGTAGAAAATGAATTTCCTAGAGCTTTGTAAATATTCTCCAACGCATAAGCAGCTTGCGTTCAGTTAAACGCCAATCGAGGCGAAGCGTGGAGGTGGCCATAAATTTTGCATTTATCCTATTTTTTTAGGGGAGCACCCTTGAAAATTATTAAAGATAACTTTAAACAATTTGGACCATTTGGATTTTTCGCGTTAGCTAGTGCTTCAGACGGTCAATTAGTCGGAACAATATACTGCTTACGCGTTGGTGCGATTCGCTCAGTATTTTATAGCAAGAGTGTTTTTACAATGTATATCGATCGCTTATATTATGACAGCATTACTAATGTTCTACAATTATAGTTTTTAATAATTGTTTTATGTTTATAATCGCCCTGAACCAAAATATGGAAATGTTACCTGGCAGCTTGAAGGTGCCTACAAACAACGAAAAAAATAAAAATAAAAGTACCTGAAAAAATTTAATGTGGATCACTATTTTCCCCCACTTTTCACCTAAAGCATCATTCAATGCCTCCATCGCACACAATAATACATGACAAATAATGTTCATCTTATGTGGAGTGGAACCACCTACATTATTTTATGAGGGTTTTCTCCCCGTTCCGCAAGTATGCACGAACCCGTCAAGCAGCAGCACTGGCCCTGAGTTAACGGACCTCCCATCCACCTATCGACAAGAGGAGGGGGGAGAGGGGGGGAGGGGTGGAGGGTCGAGATAAGGGGTCGGCCACCTCCTGTCAAAGGTGAAGGTGAGTGGGACAAACACAACACAACTCGATCACGCTCGCGGGCGTGGCGGGGCGTGGCGGGGCGGGCACCACAGGGCTGGGCCCCGACAGGCAAGGGCTGGCCGAGGGGGCTGCACGGCTTGAGAAGAAGCAGCAGAATAACAAGGCCTGGTCTGGACAAGGGACGAGAGGGAGTGGGTGTGGGCGGAGGGGTGTAAGAGGAAAACGAGGGCAGAGGTTGACAGGATGGAGGAAATGGCAAAATGGCAACAGCAAACAAATGCACCTCCGACGACGAATGACGACGTGCTTCGACGCACCGCTCGCTGCCGCTGCTGCTGCTGCAGCAGGCGGTGGCGGAGGTGGGGACCTGGGGGAGGGGTTGTCAGAGCCGCCACGTGAGAAAGAGAAAGGCGAGAGAGGGGAAGGGAGAGAGAGAGAGGGGGGGAGGACCAATGGCCACACGAGAACCGAACGCGAAATGCCTGACAGGTGTAGGCAACCCGCCGCACCACCTGCGACCGGTGCCTACCGGCTCGGCTGGCCTTACGCAAGGGGGAGAGGCCATCCTCGTGCACCACTAGACTGCTCGGAGGTCGCGGCGCGGGCCACCGCCACAACAACGCCACGCTGCTCGCCTCGGGACAAAAGACGCGGCTCGCGGGGCGGGAGAGGGAGAGAGAGAGATAGAGATACCCCGCGAGCGTCGCGGCGCCGCCCAGCGCCAGCCAGCAGTAGCCGCGCGCGGGGTAGCGCCGCGCAGCCCGCGTTGACGGGTGGCGGCCGGTGAAGCGCGACTCCCCTCTTATACCTCGAGAGAGAGAGAAAGAGAATCAAAGAGACAAATTTTATTACTCGGACCCATAGCCCGCGTGATTGCTCGCTCACTCACTGCTGCAACGCGAAACCCACCCGCTCGCTCTGGCGAATCAATGGGCAGCATAAAATAAATGCCTAAGCTATTATAAAGGCGGTTTGAGGTTACAAGGAAGTAGTGGATGGATGCATTTTGGAAGATTACGTAAAGATTGAGAGATAGCGGACCTAAAGCAAACTGTGTTGATAAATGCTAACACTGAAAATATTGGCTTCAGCACGCGAAAGTTTGGGATAGGTTCCAGCATCGCGAAGTTCATATGGGCAAAGCCGCAATGTTACACTGCTACTCGGCGTTTTGCTTTGTTACGGCTTTGGTAGAATAAATTCAATTTCAACCAATCGCTTCAAAATATAGGAAACATAAGGCCGAGAGCGATCCAATAGCGACCAAGCGAGTGAGGTAGGCAACCGCGACACACGGGTGGCTGCCGGCTGCCTACCCTCCGCTTCGCAGGCGCTACTCGTCCTGGGACTTCGGCGTTCCGTGTCTAGCGGCTGCACAGAAGGCACAGAAGTACCGGGACCACGACGACGACGACGATGATGATGCCCCCCTTCGCCCTAATCGCCGGGCCCGGGAGCGAGGCTAAGGACCTGGGCGGGGTCGCGCTTGCCGCGAGGAGGCGAGCCGTGACAGGACAGGAGCCCCTCTCGCGGGGGCCCTCGCCCTCGTCACCTGAGGATTTTAAAGGCTGAAATTTTCACGGAAAATTAGAGACTTATCCAGGAAATTTCTTTTAAAAATTGAAATGTATCCAGAAAAATTGAGGGAAAATGGAACATTTTGAGAAAAATTA